TTTATATTCATAAAACTTGGGATTTTCTCCACATTGACGTTTTTCGCCATTTTAAAAATTTGCGTAGACAGCGTTGGGTTACCTCAACAAAAACTGTTTCTATGATGGTAAATTTGATTTTAAATTCTTCATAGCTACCAGTTTAGAACTGGTTACTATTTTTATTTACTTATTACATTGCACAACAGTATATAAGTTAATTTGCCGTAAAAAAAATATTTATTTATAAAAATTTTTCTTAAAAAATTACTGGTAGTTAATTTTTATTTAAATTTTTAAATTCGTTTTTGGTAAAATATTTTATTGAATGGCAGACAATAAAAAATTAAAGTATTTCGAATTATAAGGAATTCTACCAACATTTTAAAAGCCACATGACGAGTAAACTGTAATAAAGTGGAGCTTTAATTAATAAATATAATTCACACAATTAATAACTAATCACAATTAATAAACTACCACTTGAAAATATTTATTCGCTGTGCAAAGCAAGTTATAGCATCTCCCTGTAAGTAATAAAACTACTTTTGTGTGCTCTATATTGCATTAATTTCTTCAAACCATTTTAGCAACGAATTATCTGGGATTAGAACTGAAGGTTAACTTAGATATTTTAAAAGTAATTAAGGGTACAGGAGACCTTGAAAACAAATTTTTTTAAGTTTTAATCCTACATTTACAGAGATGCCAACTGCTCCGGACGAGCCAAAATAATTTAAAAAACGGTAAATAATTACAAACTAAATTTTCCAAATATGTGACTATTTTTGCTTGCTTTTTAAATGGTATAGCATGTCTCAAGTACTTTACTTACTTTACTTTTACTTTTATTTACAAAAATTGGGCACCTGGGCCTCTTAGCAGCCCCTATCCCATACATCTAGAAATTTACAGAAAATTTATAGTAATAACATTTTGAATTTAGCAGTCGATGTGGTAGCTAATAGAAAAACAAGCACTTTGCTTGAGTAAATATAACATTTGAATATCTGATTCATCGAATCTAAGTTGACATATATAAATATAAACATAATTTGACATATATATACGTAAGTTGACATAAATAAATATTAACATAAATTGATACATATTTCACTAATTAAATTTCTATATTTTAACTAGCACATATTTAATTATGACATACATTGAAGTTCATTCGAATACATTGTGGTAGCCATAAAAAAAAAATTAAGCCGTTCGCTTGTGAAATAATAAAACGATGAAAAATTCAATATGACAAATTGACGTTTTTACATAACATTAGAAATATTGATTGTAGACTTTAATTTAAAATAAAGATATAACATGATTTGATATGTGCAATAATTGATTTTTGAAAAATGAAGAACATAATTGATGAATATAGATAAATTATACCTTGATTCATGATAAAATAACATATTTGGAGAAAATGCAGTAAATATATTTTACTAGAGAAATATTGTTCCTTAAATACAATAGAATTTGCAAAAGAATTTAACGTGCATAAAGAGATAAATACATATGCATTAATTGGCTATATTTTCAGAAAATAAAATTTGATGTAATTTAATTTAACATAAGTAAAAGTCTACTGTGAAAAGTTCAGTGAATTTAACTTGAGAGTCTTGGAAATAAAAATAGAACTCACTGTGATTGAGATGTTTCCCCGATGATATCCCGCAGAAGACGTAGCACTTCTTCATTTTTGAGCAATTCCTGTAATTCTTTGATTAATGACACTAATCGGTGAGCAAGTTTAGGCGTTGAATTTGATGTTGCTCGAGGGCTCCTTCTGCTGGGGCGGGTCTCGCACCCAGTATAGTTGGCTGTGTGGTTTTTGTAACAATTACAGCATTTTGGAGGTGTTGTTCTGTCTTTGTTGCATTCATGAGACCTGTGGTTTTCAGCGCATTTTACACACCTTGCAGGCGCATTGCAGTGGCTTTGCGTATGTCCATAATTTTGGCAGTTGTAACATTGTGTAGGTCCTCGACCTCCTCGAAATCGTTCGATTTTGATCGGAATCTGCTGTATGTTGTTGACTTCGAATATTCTTTGGTGATTCGCCGTTGATGTTAGGATTATGAGAAAGAGTGGAAGGAGCCGATAGGCCTCTCCCATTCTCTTCTTAAACTGCACTATTTTAAAGGTTTCAACGTTGTTTTTCTGTAATTCTGTATTGATGGCATCTGTATCAAAGTCCACAGGCAGGCCACGGACCAAAACCTTAATAAATCTAGCTTGCGGTGTTATTTCAGGTTTGCTGGGCGGATCCCGTACTTTGTCGGTATCCTCCTTAGGTTTTGTTGTCGGCAAGATAGTGACGTCATCTGTTGAGTTATGTTGGCTAGAAGAAGGACAGCTGTTTGTAGACATGAGTGTAGAATTATCTTCAATTATTTTGACTGCATTTTGCTTTTTCTTCTTCGTTTTTCTTTTCTTTGCTGGTGGTTCTGTATTATTGTTAATATTGATGTCCGTGTCAGTTTCTGTATTCGGTGTTGTATTCAGGTTTTCATCTTTATTTTCCATGGTTATGTCTTCAGTGCTTGGATTAATTTCAGTCATTATTGATTCGAGTTGAATGGAGTTTTTATTCATCTCCTTGTTTTCTTCCGCTTGAAAGTTTTTCCTCTTCCACCTGACGTGATAAGCTGCATTTGTCAGTTTTAGGAAGTAGGAGTATTCATAGTCTCCAGAGTAACTTGATCTTATTTGAATGAGCAGTTTGCTAAGTAATTTATCTAAACCAATCAGCTCCTCTGTATCAAACTGAGTGTAAAACTCTACGAGATCGTCAATATGTTCATGTTCAACTGGTGGAAAGTATTTTTTTGATATCCCACAGATAGCAATGATTTCTTCTAATGACGTGGATTCTTTGCAATGCGACGGTGAATTACGACCAGAGAATGAGACCTTTCCACCACGAGCTGTTTTATGATACGGCATGACTTGAAAAAACAAAATGGCGGGCTCAAAATCCAGACATCAAAATGGCTAGTTGACAGTATTATCTCTCCCTACTCCAGAATCTGACGAGATCAAAATCAGTATCACTCACCTTGTAAAGTTCAGGATAATCAGCATCAATTCAACATAACCGGCATCACAAGGGAGAAGAGGACATCAGTAGAGCATCACCTTTGAATGCCACGGGTCAGGCAGGATTTGTACTATCTTTTTTCGTCTCAAGTACTAATAAAGTGGTAAATTAAATAAGCCTACGAATTACTTAGAAATAGTGGTGGATAAAAATCTACTAAATTGAATTTATTAAACCAAGATATTGGATAAACTACCACTTTAAAATATATATCTGCTATCCGGAGCAAGTTGGGATTTCTGCATTTATGAAATTTACAACATTTACTTATATCACATTTAGAAATCTGTGTAAAAAAGTTTATGCAGATTACTTCAGTAGTTTTAAAAATATTGAACTTTTAAAATAACGAAAAACATCCCATGCGCAAATAGTATGATTATAAATGTGCAATTTTTTGTTAAGATGCTCGTTTCATACCTATGAATAAAAGTTAGCATCATTCATTAACTAAATATTTTGCATTAGCTCAAAAAATTAAATTTGAAGGAATTACACTGAAAATTTTCAAAAATTTCAATGAAAAATAAATATTTACAGCCAAAATATTTATTTCACTAAGTTTTTACACAACAAAACATGCTAACTTTTAATGGTATATACACTGCTAAAAAAAATTAGGGGAGCCATGTGCTCCCCTAATTTTTTTGAGTAGTGTATATACATATATATATGCATAGATATACACTGCTCAAAAAAATTAGGGGAGCACATGGCTCTCCTAATTTTTTTGAGCAGTGTATATATATGGTATCTATTTATAAAGTTTTAACACAAACAAGAAAAAATTGAGCCGCATGGAACATTTTGAAAAAGTAAAATTACTGAAAATTTCATTTTGAGAAAAAACCAATGTCTCCTATAACCGAAAGCTATAACTCCACACTATTTCTCTTAGGTACTCCGATCAAATCATTATGAAGGTAAAATAGTTTACAAAACAGACATTTAATACAAAATCTAGTGAAATTGAGAAAGTGGTAGCAAATATATGTCTAAAAATTTTTTTAATTTATGAAAATGATTGGTTTGTCTTCTTTACTTGTCAACCACTAACATATTCAATTCCCAAATATATATGATAAATTTCTCTCTCAATTACTTTTTAACCTCATCGAGACGGGCGAGTCATCAAGGTAAAAAAATATATTTGGTAGGCAAAATACTTCTATATAAGTTTATTTGGGGGAATAATAATAATAGTTTGATGTAGTTAATATACCACTACTTAATTCAAAATAAAAATTGCTAAGTTACATTTTGAACTTTTATTAATTTTGTCAGAAATAAGGTGAAAAAAGAACTAATTATAAAAAAGCAAATTATAAAAAAAATAAGCCTTGTCCAAACTTAGCTACCACTTTTTATTTATTTCCATCCTGATTCTGGTTCGTACGATTGTATGTATGACTCGCCAGCCCTAATAAGGCGAAGAAAAATTTGAACTCATGCGCACAACTTGCTCACTTTTTAAATTATCTGCGCAGACTTATTATAAAAAAAACAGTGTGAGGGCTTTTTGCTGTAGGAGGTGATGGCAGAGCAAGCTTCAAAGGATTTGCATAAACTTTTGAATTATTTACACGTAGTGGTGAGGAAAATAACTATATATCAATTATACCAAATAATACAAGATTTATATATTAAAGCAAACTTAGCTACCACTAAAAGAAATTTTCCAAAGAAGCTGATAAACTTAAAATCCTTCAAATGAGTATATTAACATACTTTCATTTTTTATACAGATTTAAAAGTAGGCTCTAAAACCGTTGAAATCCAGCTTCAGTTCTTAATACAATCATTTGACCAAAAGTTATTCAGGGATTAAACTTTTTTCAATTTTGCGTGCTGTAATCTATTATTTCAGAATTTTTTTTAGGAAAAATTAGCTAATTATTAATTTATTTTTCAGGTGACATTAATACACCCGCCTCTTGGGATGTCCCACCATTAAGGGTACCCGGTACAAAGTACCCAATCATCGTATTCTCTCATGGACTTGGCGGTTGCAGGACAACATATACCACTTACTGTTTAGAACTTGTTTCTCAAGGTTTCGTCGTTGCTGCGCTGGAACACAGGTAAGAGGCTTAGAAACTCATACTTATTTGTGGTGGTTATCTCAGCATCCGTCCCGCCAGGGGCTCTATCTAATAAGCTTAGAACTAACTAACTATCTAATCAATTTTTTTAGAGTACCTATCCATGTATGGATATCTGCTCTTTCATCTAAATTGAATAATATGTGGTGGAAGGGAAGGGAGGTGCTGCGTTAACATTAAGTTAAATCTCAGAATGAACAATAATTGATAAAATCAAGTCAGAGTCATACATAAAAATAAATCGCAAGTTGATACATAATAAAGGGAACAAATTAAAGATAAAGAAAGAATATTTACACTATTTACAAATTTACAAAAGGGGGAAGATTCCCTGTGCACTCTCTCGCCTCCCCCCGGTATAGCGGGGCTTCATTGAACACAGTTTGTCTAGGGCAGTGGGGATAGTCATGATTATCCGAAATGCTTAGAGAGAACACAGTCGCTTAAGAAAAAAGCGGTTATCGGGCTGAAATTTTTATTGTCATCTATGAAATCAATGTCTAATAACTTATTGAATTTACATATTGAACAATTTTTGGCACCTTTAAAAAAGGATGCATTGAGTTTAAAAAGGCACTCGTCTATTTTGTCGATTTTGAGGTCATTATAGCTGGGATGCCACAGGCGACTATTTTTGTAAAAAGTGCTGACTAATAAATTTCAAAATTTTACTAAAAGAAATTAAAATTAGTAACTTTTTCCAGCTGATCCTTTCAGTTTATTATTGAAAGTAAATACAAAAATGTGTGTATATGAATAATAGGAAATGTAAATCATAGTGGTTGATACGATTGAATAATTAAAGAGATAATAAATGAATAAAAGAAAATTGAGTTTCTACCACTTTTTACAATGTCGCTTTTTTAAGTATATTAGAGACGTGATATTTCCAATTTAGGGTGCAGTTTATAGTGATACCCAAATAGTTTGCTTTAGAGACTTTGGGAACTTCTTCGTTGAATAATAAGATTTTTTCGTAGTTGATAATTTTCTTTTTATTTGTTTTGCGAATAATGAGTAGGTTTGATTATAAGCTTAGAAAAGGGGCTGAAAGCCCATATATATCAAGACGGAAAAGAGTAAAAACTGGTAGCAAATATATTTCATTTTTTAGCTTTTTATCGGGAATAATAAAAATCCATAACTACCAATTGTTTTTAACGGATACAATTTTTATAATGAATTGCTTCTTCGCCTTGATGTTATTATTTACAGTGTATTGTCTATTGTTGAGAATAGCTTAACTCCTCCCGAATACTATCTAAAATTGAAATAGTTCTCATACCAGTATTTTCTCTTTCCCGTCTCGCTTTCAGGCCAGGCTTGGAATGTATATGTTTACATAAAGTAAAATTAAGTTTGTGTTTGAATATTCTAAAAATGATTGCCTGATTCTCAAGTGGTAGCTAAAATAAACTTTTAATCATTGCTATGACTTTATACTCATTTGCGTTTATATTACTTGCTTTTGTTTACATTCAGCGGTAGTGGAACTCGTATAGACTAAATTTATAAGACTTATTACCACTTTTAATGTATTACTAAATTGAATTTATTNTATGTAATCCTACGAATTATTTAGAAATAGTGGTGGATAAAAATCCACTAAATTGAATTTATTAAACCAAGAATCACAATTGATGAACTACCACTTTAAAATATTTATTTGCTGTCCGGAGCAAGTTGGCATCTCTGAATTTGGTAGTCTTGTTTATGCAACTTAAAGACTATGTCTGTTCAAGTTTTGCGCTTGGTACATAAGTTATAACCGTCGTGGAACAGCGGACCAAATTTTTTGGTTACAACGATCAATATTCATTCGTATCCTTGTAATTTTTAACCCAATCCAATAGACAAGGGATCTCCTGGATCAAGTATTGGGAGAAGTTTGCTTTCGTGGAGGACTTTTTGATGGAGCTAACCCGCATTTGCGTTACACGGAAAGGAAAACCACGAAAACCTTTCACTGTTCACCTGATTGCAAGCTGTAACCTACAAATAATGTAACCCATGACGTCTACCCCTGAGGATGTTTGACGTCAGCATTGTGGTCTCTGAGAGCGGGGTGCTTTGCCGGGATTTGAACCCGGTTCATCTCATTGGAAGGCGATTACATTATCCCCTATGCATGATTTCATTTTACAACAATAATTTAATAGCTAACCCAATTATGGGTTTACGGCTACTAATGTAGTAGCCTTGTAATTTTGAACCCAATCCAGAAAACAAGGGAACTCCTGGATCAAGTATTCTGTAAATTTACTTTTATTTCTAATTTAATTAAGTTTTTGAATACAAAATTTAAGATTAGTTAAATAAATAATGCAAAAGAAATTGTAGTGGTGAGAAATTACCCGACTGAAAACTTCATTCGTTTGAAAAATATGCAAGTAACTGTAACATTGTTTCAAGCGCATTAAAAATAGGTGCCCATTTTCAAGACTTGACAGACGTGAATGTAACGAAGCAAAAATAATTTGAAGAAATAAATGTTAAGTTTCCAGCAAAAAATGGAAAAATATAGGTGAGAAACAAAAGTAGAAAGTAAAAAAAAAACAAAGGGAAAAAAATGCGAAAAATAGAACAAAAATGAAAAACACAGTGGCCGAAAGTCTCGATAATTTTAACACTTTCATGTCCGGTGACACCAACGTGTTGTCACGTGAAAACCAAACGTTAGTTGGCCGGTGACAACACCTAATATTCATGTGACATTTTGTCAAGGGACAATAGAGTACAGGGATGCCAACTGCTCCGCTATCTGGAATAGCTTTAATAAAGTGGTAGCAAATTATATAGTAAAATTCGTTAAAGAAAGATAGTTACGCCTACTTTTTAATATGATAACCAATAGTTTGATGCTTTGCGGTTGCATTTTATATTATACTTATAATTTTTGATATTTAGTGGTGAAAATATTACTTATAATGAAAAATACTAAACTAAAAGTAACTTAAATTTCGCTACCACTAGAAAATACTATTTTACAAAGCGGAGCAAGTTACTCGGAAACGGTTACATGGTAAATTTATCACTAAATATATGCGGACCGCATAGTGTTAAAATAATTTCCACCCCACTCATATGAGATCGTCTTGATACCCTGGAATCTTGGTTTATTCATCTGAATGCCGATTCCCTTTCTAACGACAGTAGATCGTCTCCACCTTTCCGTTATGCGTAGAAATGCATTTTACCTTGATTCTTTTCTTGGTAACTGTGTATTTTCTTGTTCTGTTTTTCAACTTTTTCTCTTCTCCCGGCTTCTGCGTTTTTGTCAAGTTTTTTCCTCACCTTTACAGAGATGCCAACTTCTCCGGACTCGCCAAAATAATAAATTAAACCGTAAATAATTGCAAAGTAAATTTTGCAAATATGTTACTTTTTGCTTGCTTTTTAATAGGTTAAGCATGATATAATTACAATAAAGTGGTGAATTATATTAGCCTACGAATTATTTAGATATAGTGGTGGATAAAAATCTACTAAATTGAATTTGTTAAATCAAAAATCACAATTACTAAACTACCACTGTAAGATATATATTTGCTGTCCGGAGCAAGTTGGCATCTCTGCCTTTATTTACTGATACTGATTGTAATTTCGAGTGACGAGTATGTTACAATCATAAATTTTTGAGCCGTGGTGGCTCAGAGGATGGAGTGTTCTCATTCCAAACAGGGGGTCCGGGTTTGAATTCCAGTGATAGCTGGTCGATGCGAACTCCTCAGATGGCTCGCTAAGACCACAGTGCTGGCTTAAAATATTCTCAGTGGTAGACGGATCGTGGGTTAGACTACCTTTGCCATCTGGCTTACGGTTGGAGGTTTTCCAGTCTATGTAACACAAATGAGGGTTAGTTCAATCAAAAAATCCTCCATGAGGGAAAATTTCTCCCAATGCTTGCTCCAGGAGTTTCCTCTCCTTCTGGATTGGGTTCAAAGATACAAGGCTACGGAGTTGAACATTAGCTGTCGTAAACCCAAAAATCGGGTCGGCTGTTCAACGACAGTTAAAAAATGAAAAAAGAATTTTCAGACGAATTACAAATTAAGAACAAAGAGTGTCTATTTTTTCCAAAAGCTGTTTTTTTCACTTTTAAAAGATCTTCAAGATCTGAAAAAAAAAACTCTTGCCTCCGCAGTGTTAGAGATTTCATTTAAAGTTGGTCCTCAGAAGAAAAAAAAATTAAAAACAAGGAAACGCTTTTTATTTTCAAGAAACTTTGACTGTTCTCTAAATTGATGTCTTGCGCCATTTTCAAAGCGTAGCCATTTTTAAGATAGTGTAAGATTAATACCAGTGATTTTTAATTAGAATGTATTTAGAATTATAGTAATACTAAAACAGAAATGTGGTTTTGAACAGGGTTGCCACGGGCGAATAAAAAGGAAAAACGTGGTGATTAAAAAAAATTTAAATTTTATTAATATAAATTAAAGATACTTTCTCGAGCATTTTTTTTCTAAGTTTACTATTGGGCCGGGAGAGCCTGGTCGGTAGGGCGGTGGGCCCATATCCAAGAGGTCGTGGGTTCGATCCTCGTCGGCCGAAGACTCCCCATGTAGTAAATGGTGANAAAAAAAATTTAAATTTTATTAATATAAATTAAAGAGAATTAAATTAATATAAATTAAAGAGAATATAAATTTACATTATAAATTTCTCGAGCATTTTTTTCTAAGTTTACTATTGAAATTGGGTCGACTGTTCAACGGCGGTCATAAAATAAAATAAAATAAGTTTACTATTGAAAGTAAATGCAAATGTTTTTGTTTTAAATATGAATAATTTGCAATGTAAGTCATAATGGTTGTTACGACTGAATAATTAAAGAGATAATAATAATAAAAAAATGAATTGAGTTTCTACCACTCTTTATATTTATAATCTCCTGAGGCATCCATGTCGTGAATTTCCAGAACTCATTTTGGTTGATCCTAATTTAGCCTGGATAAAAATGACATAATTTCTAAACA